AAGCACACTTTGTGTTTTCTTTTTTGTTGTTGTTTTTTAATTTTATTGATAAATAGCAATGAGACAGTTTCAAAACCGATTAGTAGGACAGTTTCAATAATTAACACTTTGTGTTTTCTTCTGAGGCAGCCAGGGACTTAAACTTAGTGTTTGCTAAAGCCCATGGCCCTTCACTCAGGCCCACACATGCCCAGGAGGTAGCTGTAAGAACAAAGCTCAGCCTGCCTTTTGCGAAACTCTGAGTCATGGAGAATCTTGTAATAGTTAGCAGAACAAAGTCTGTTAGCCCTGAGCTGACCTCGCCCGTTCCTTCATCCCTTTCAACATGAGGGCACCGGAATCAGAACTAGTTTTCAGAATTCACAGGGACTTCTGATTGGCAGCTTTTTCAGGTCCACTTCCATGCCCCTCCCTGGAGGGACACCGAGCTACTACTGTCCTAACCCCGAGGCCTGCTGGGCTCTGGGACAGCCTCTCAGGCTCGAGCTCCACAGATAGAGACAGAGATGACCCTTTCGATCCAGAACTGGAACCCGCAGCTCGAGGTGAGGATCCCAGGGAGCAGGAAACCAGGCCTGACATAGGGCCCCGCGGTGACCGGCAGCCGGCGTCCTGCTGAGCCTTGAGAGCTGCCTGGTGCTGGGATCCAATCTGATCGTCTCGCAGTGGGCTCCAGCTCCTCCGGCTGAGTTCCTTGTTGCTCAGACTTTCCTTGCTAGGGGACCGACTGGCTCCATTTTTGTCACAGCTGTGCTCTTCTTTGTTTTCTCTTAATTAAAGCCTTCTTGCAAATTTGTGCTTTGGTTTGAATTTTCCTTATTCCTACACCGGGAGCCATGCTGACTGGTGGTGGACGCACCTCTCTTTCCAGGTGATGGGCCCCGCAACCTGATGTGAGCTGAGCGCTCCTGCTGGGCTGCTGCGGTCCCTGTGTGCATCTCTAACTGCTCATGTTAAAGCTAGGTGTGTGAAGCACAGTTCCACAGCTGTGCAGAGGTGATGATAACCTTAGTGTTTATTCAAAAATTTTTTTTTACGGGTGGGCCGGGGAGATGGCTCAGTGGAATAAGCGCTTCCCTGGCAAGCACAAGGGCCTGAGTTCAATCCCCGGTTCCACAAAAAAAGAAAAAAAAATGGTTTTTTTTTGTTGTTGTTGTTTTTATTTTTGAGATGGGATCTCACTGTGTTGCTAAGCTGACCTTGAACTCTTGGGTTTAAATGATTCTCCTGCCTCAGCCTCCCCAGAAGTTTGGACTACAGGCATGTGCCAGGAGTTATTGCAGCTTTTTTTTTTTTTTTTGTATTTTTAGGGAAGTGTCCACAGGGTGTTCAGGGTCTTACTGCTAGATCAGACTCATAGTGATCTGCCTGTTTACAGCCTCCCAAGAGCTGGGATTACAGGTGTGCACCACCACTCCCAGTCTCAATTGCCAGCTCAGAGCACCCCAGGAACGGGGACAGCACAACAGGCCCAGGGATTGAACCTCTGACCCCTGTTCCCGCTTGCACGTCCTTTATTTTTTATTTTTTAATTTTTTTTTTTTTATTTATGTGTGTGTGTGTGTGGCCAGCTCAGCCCACCAGGGGGCGGGGCTGGCTGGCATGTGGTGCTGGGGATTGAACCGCGGTCCCTGTGCTTTGCCAAGCTTGTTCTCAGTAGGTGCTTTAGACCACTGAGCCATCTCACCAGCCCCTTGCACGTCCTTTAATCTGTTGAGCTCTTTGTGTGTGTGTGTGTGTTATTGGGGATTGAACTCAAGGCCTTGTGCTTGCCAGGCAAGCATTTATTCTACTGAGCCATCTCCCTGGCCCCTTACTTGAATTCAAAAGTGTAACACATCTTTTGTTTTGTTTTTGACTTTTTAAGACAGGGTCTCACTGTGCAGTTCAGCCTGGCCTTGAGCTCACTTTGTACCTCAGGCTGGTCTGGAACTTGCTGCAGTGCCTCCCAAGTGCTGGGATTATAGGTGTGTGCCACTAACATGCTATTTTTTTGGCTGGCTCAGCCCAGCATGGGGATGGGGGGAGGCATGGAGTGGTGTGCCGGGATTGCTTTAGACCACTATATAATCTCTGCCTCTATTTTTGTAATGTAAAAAAAAAAAAAAAATCAGCTTAGCACAAGTCACAAGATCACCCAGAGGATTTCCTTAGAGACCTCAGTCCCGTGTTTCACCTCTGGGGGCATGTGGCCTTGAGTATCTTTATGTCAAAGCCTGGTTCTCCCTGTCACCTCCTATTCCTTGGGCCGCAGGCAGTACACCTTGTGCACTCCGCACACTTGGTGTGAATGCAGGTGTCGCGGGTGAGTATGGGGAGACACTGCCCTTGCGCCGAGGTTGAGGTGGGGTGGGAGGTGCAGTGAGGAGCCCCAGCCCGCCTCCTTAGCTGTGGGACTGGCTCGTCCTCTCCACGAGGGCAGCCGATTCCCATCTGTAAAGGACGGTGAGGTAGCTCAGCCAAGGGACAAGTTGCCCCAGGCTTGCCATAGCTTAGGAAAGTTATTTTTACGCCTTGTTTCTAAGGTAACATTGGAGACCAAAGTCTGCTGTGTAGGTTTTTTTTTTTAAGTGAGACAGGGTTACCCTCAAACTCGCAGTCCTCCTGCCTCAGCCCCCCAAGTGCTGGGATTACAGGCGTGTGTCCATGCTAGCTTTAGGTGTTTTGTTATATCCTTGGACATGCGGTTGCTAAGGGCCTGCTAGTCCTAACATATTCCAAATAGGACTTCAGGGGCCTTGAATTGGTTGAAATGGGCTTAGCTTCTGTCTCCTCCCCTTTCCGTGGTGTTGCAGAAGAGCATAGCCCAGCAGGCCTCCAGTGTGCTTTGCGTGTGGTTGCCGGGTGTCCCCAGAACTCACATGCCAGAAGCCAGGGGCCCAGTGCATTCTGTGAGAGTGTGGCTGTCCCGGGAGACCGCTCCACATGCTTAGCCTCTGTGGCTGGGTCCTGTCTCCATTTTACCCCGTAGCGTTGCAGCCCCGGGATCCTCAACTGACTCTGAGAGCCTCTGATGTTGCTGGCTGCTATGTACTGCCCCCACCCACCCAGGCCAAGGGGTGTGACTGATCTGGTCTTAGGTTTCTGCCTGGTTCCTGAGGTGCCCCAAACCCCCTTTCTGGCACCAGTGGCCATGAAGGTCTGCTGCTGGAGCTGGCACTTGGCCATGGCCCTGCCCCTGAAGGCTTGGTCAGCAAGAGCTCAGCAAGCACAAGGAGGGGGCCTCAGCTCCCCACATCCTTCCTCCACCCAGAGTGGAAGTGATAGGGGTGGGGCGGGGCAGGGTCATGGCCCTCCCATGTGGCAGTAGCCAGCACAGGGCTGCAGAAAAGGGGGCAGGAGTGGCTCTTGGTGGCCTCAGTACCTGAGCCCACACCCAAGGTGTTCTATGTGGGGTCCCATGGAAGGCGGCCATTTATCCCAATCCTCCACTTCAGGGACGCTGAAGAATCTACCTCAGAGGCATCCGTCTGATGCCTGCTGATGCCACCATGGCTCTAGGGCTAGCTTAGGGCTTCAGTGTCCCTGTACAGGGAGCTGAGGTCCCTGGAGGTTGGAGGTTGGAGCCTGGCTACTCCCCTGTGGGACACTAAAGCCTTCTCCCGCATCCATCTGGCTCATGTGGGCAGGAGCCAGGAGCCCAGCTGTGTCAAAAGAGCATGGAACCCTATTCACAGAGCAAGGGGCCAGCATTCCGGGCAGTTGCCGCCCTCAGACATTGGACTCTGGACTCAGGTCTGTCTGGGGATGAGGAAGGAAGCCCCTTCTGCAGTCTCCTGCCTGGCTGGGCCCATAGAGGACACTTGGGGCTGCCGGGAGCAGGCCTGCCTGCCAGGTGGGGCTCAGAGCTTTGAGCTTGATGGCTACTTCCTCGATCCTTCCTGTGAAGGATGGGTGGTGGGTAGTAGCCAGCACAGGGATGGATGGATGGATGGGTGAAGGGTGAGTTGAAGGGGTATGTGGA